TTCAAAAAAAATATAGATTCATTATTGTATAAAGTTTCCTTAGCGGTTTTACCACAACAGACATACACGTACCGGGAGTATATGTTGGATCTACCCTAGTACAATGTTACAGAAGGACTTAGGTTTTTTCCCCCACTGCTATGAATGCTCTTCCTCAAAATTTAATACAATGTAGGAGTTATAGTTCTTGAGTAATTTCCGATTTCATTTACAATAAGATCATAAGATGCACATAGGAGCTCTAAAACTCAATGTTTATGCCACTTAAATTGCTAATCAATAAATGAGTATCAAACTTTTTATTTACATGTTAGTAATTAAATGCATTGACCGTGTCCACTGTTTCTCATTGCAAGTCAGTTGACCATTTGTCCCGTGTTACATGTCCACATACAAACATCTATCTGGTATCGAAATCCTCAGGCTTAAAGGCTCTGTTTTCGCTTGCTACCGCAATCGCAACTTCAGAGATCGTCCTTAATTGTAAGGATTCTAACCCTTCTGTTAGATTTTTCACTTTTCTTTCAAAACTGAACCTTTGAATATTCTTCAACCAGCTCAACAGAATAGACATTTTCAATGATGCATGATCTCCTTCGTATATGACATGCAGTTCATCGATTTTGTTGCCTTCAAGATTCAATAAAAAACCAAGCTTTGTCATTTGGGTAACACTAAGCTGATCACTCAGTACGAAGAGGCTTCTCCGATCGTCAAACATAGCTGTACAAAACAAAACAGTATTCTGTACATAGCTTATTTAGTGAGATGCATCCATGGGCACAAGCCAACAGAAGTCAGCACAACAATTGCCAAATAAAATGCGCTGGACGTTCGAGATTACATATTTTTTTTAGACGTTATTAAGCCTAAAATCTGGGTCAACTAGATAAATATCTAAATGAAAGAGGAACAAGGTATTGCGATATCCTACATATTTTCTAATTTGTGTAACCCGTGAGATTGGGACAAAATGGATTTCATCAAACAGATATCAGTACAGGTAAGAGTAATGAGTAAGTAACCTACCGTGGTGTGCAGTGTTCGTGAGTCTCGGTTGGTACAGTTTCGTCGGTGTAAAAAACTCGTAGGCGCCAAACTGGGCCTCGTGAAGCAAATCGTGTGGTGCTTGGATCCGGCGGTATTTCACAATGGCTTGTTCATTCTGATGCCTCTTGTTCCTAATAATCGACAGACGGTGAAAATTTTCGTAATTTTTCTGGTCGTACCATAATACTGGCGGTTCTTTCGAAGCCGTTGGCGGGATTGTGATTCCTACATCGACCGGAATTTCGATACGAATTCTCTCAAAATTTTTAACCATCACCGGCCGGGATATACAGGTCGAAAGTCCAGTGAGCCCGTCTTTTCTTCGTTTTTTTAAGGTGGCTTTAACAGTTTTTTCCTTTGCAGGGACTATTTCGGACCATAATGATACATCGGAGTCGTCTTCATCAATGAAAAGTATAATCTTGCAACAATATTGGTTCACATCCATAGCATGTGCAATTTCGGATCCTTTTCAGAACCAGCACGTCTTTTCCTTATTCCATACCTATTGTATTGAAAATTGTATTACTTATTTTTACTTCTTAAACGTTCGATACATTTTAACCTGTGTTATAATATGAACATAAAAAATCATCACTCGAGACCAATTTTAAGTCAATTTATTTAACATTCTGATGCTGAGATGTGCTTGAAAATGATAGCAGGACAAAAACGCATATTTAATTCCATTATGACTGATATTACATGTAACAGAGGTCATTATGTTTTCAATGCCTCCACTAGGAGTCGAACCCGGGGCCTACAACTTACTAGTCTTACGCTCTACCAGGTTGACATACTCCCCCTTCAGGAAAGAACTCGTCCCTAGTTTTCCAAGGGTCATAGCGATTCCTTTGCAAGTATTGCGGAGTATATTTGTCAAATCTCCCGGGTCCCTACGTGTGCCCCAATGTAACAGAGACCTCTGGCTTACTAGTCTAACGCTCTAACGAATGAGCTAAAGAGAAATTCTCCCTAGCCGAGTCGGTAGGAAGTGACTAGTGGGCGACATACTTACTTCTATTTGATAAAGTGATTTTGATTCGGAAGCACACTTCGCGGGAATATTCACAATCCCTAAGCCAGAGGAAAGTCTTTCATCTCAAATAAATCATTCAATTTGCTTAAATGCTTAAATGTCCAACTAGTATATAGATAAGCAATATTGGATAATGTCTTAATACTGATCTGTAAGTCGTTTGTGTTTACTCTTTAGATCATTCGAAGCAATTTTTAATACAAAAGAAAAACAAACAATCCGGCATCTAAGTATATACAGAAATGTATAAAATGTTCAAAGTAACAAAGAATTCCAGTACGTTTGTTTTTACGTCAACTTTCTCTCAGGTGATAGAGCATCTTTGTGTAAACAAAGATTTCACGTGACAGAATCAAAGCTGTATATTCTGCTCTTAAAGAAAGAGCTGATGAAGAATCTTTGAGTTCTATTAAGCATTATTAACATTCAAACTTTGTTTCAAATTGACATTATAAGGATATCACTTTTATAATTACATTTAATTACGTTCGAGGTCTTGTCTTGAGTGATATTTCAACTGTTGTGTAGGTTTTATGCAAGGTCAGACTGATTCATATAAACTGTCGAAGTTATCGTATTGAGTCAGTTGCAGCAATAGGGTTTCATATTGAGAATGCTCACAATTGTATTTGCCTGTGGTCATGGCCCTACAATGACGTCGAGGTGGTCCAGTTGTAAGAACTGAGGCTATTTCTTGGCTAGGCGAGTTGGTGACGTAGGTCGTATATCTAGGTACAAACACAAGTTTATACACAAACTGGACCATGTACAGTATACATACATGTACATGTATATTTTCCATTGTTTTTCCCAAGCTATAACGCCATTGTCATAGGGGAGTTAGATGGGGGCTTCTATTATGTTACACAGCTCAGAGTTCACGTGGGAATTAATGAGACTGGCATGTTCACGTGTAGACTTTGGTCAGTGGGTAATGGCCACAGTGTAAATAAGGATAAGTGAGGGTCATTGATTACTTTATAGCTTCATGATCAGCAGCCATAACCAACGATAACACTGGGGAGATATTGATAAGGTTAAGGACATTGACCACTGGTCAGCATCTGCATCTTGGCAAATCAGGAAGCAGGAATCATGCAAGACAATAAAGATGTTTAAAGTTCTTAGCCTCATCCTAGCCAGTATAAAAAAAAACTCTTTTGAGTAGAAGACGTTCATTTTAGACAGATTTACTTTATCGAGCCATCACCATTCCCAGCCTCCAGCCTGTACATAAAAATACATTAAGTGTGATATCACTTTATCAATGTTTCGTTTCAATATGAATACAACGTTTCCATAATTACATAAATCATTTTATTTGGAGATGGCATAATTAAGAGGTAACAATTCTTGATAGTATTGATAAATCCAATGTACATTGGTAGGCTAGGGCTATTCACTACTCAATAATCCTTATGAGATTTTGTTTCGTTCTTTTGTCTAAAATTTTACATTACAATCTATTCTGTACGGGTTTACTTTATTCAATCAGGCTATGTAACGAATCAGGGCAAAACAAACTCTGAGGCTCTGCCAAGCCTGTACAGCTGTCCGACCCGACAATCTGGTTTTAATTTTGAGGTGTTTGGGTTTACCGGACCGCGTGTGACAAATGGGTTTTCCCCTAGAGACTCATGGCCTTGGATGGCTAACCTCTCAAGACTCAAGGCTCAAATACAGTACAGTCTGCATACTCCGTCTGTAACCCATACTCTAAGCTAAGGAAATCAACCACTGTGATATGAGGAACACTCAGATAAACAAGATATTCCTCTTTATTGCATATTTCCGCTAATTTCATATATGTATAAATGAAATATTACATAATTACTTAAAAACATCTTGCATAACTATCGATACTATGCAATTAAGTTGATTTCATCGTATTCACACAAGAGACTTATTGTTCTTGTCTTTGTTTTGACAAGGATGTTGACGATATAAATAATGTTTATGGAAATTTCTTGGAGAATAAATCAAATCAAATATGCCTAGCATTTTAAGGGTGTACAAAACATGTGACATCATATTTTATTTAATTCATTTGGAATATACAAAACAAGGACCCTTTCATTTGTTCTTATAACTCTTTTAATGTAACAATACAACACAACATGTTTCAAAATCAAAGATAATCTAGTGTTAACAATTAAATTGAATTAAGGAAAAGGATTTTCTCTTACATACATTTTATATTATTTTATGATTATCTTCATCTGAACTTACACGAACTACGGCGACAACAAAGTCGACATCAACCCAAAATCTGTGCCTAGAATCAGAAGACAGATCACAATGTTCCCAAAACACCATATGCGAAAGCAGTTTCTTTGAAGGGGTCAGTATAATAGACTGTATAGTCACTGAAGAGAAAGGCTCGGAGTCAAAATATTTAAATACAATTAATACATTCAACTCCGACTCGTTTAATAAATCTCATATGAAAAAAAGGTTTCTTAATATCTGTGTAGGAATTTCAAAATAACATTACATACAGGTGTATTATTTTTTGGCTAGATTGTCTTGTATTATTTTAAAATAAATAACAACAATGATGACGATTTCTGAGTTATTACCTGCCGACGTAAGAAACAGTGACGTCATTTTATGCAACGATAAGTAGGTGTGAAATGTACATAAATGAATGATAAATCAAATAATAATTGGCAAATATGATTCCGTTTTATATAAACAAGTAGTCAAACACACCATTTTGGCTATGACGTCAAACGAGATGGGCCTTCTTCAAGTTAGCTGTATACGAGCTTAAATGAAAACGTCGGATCAGCTTTATCAATCTCAAAATATCAAAGTATGAGATCTAGCAGTGTCTTGTTAATGTTAAATCGTTAAAGATTGATTATATTTAAAGTTAATTGATTTTTGGGTTGTTTTTTTTTTTTGGGGGGGGGGGGTTAATTTGCAGTTTCGCAAGCAACATTTATTACACATCTCATTCACTATCACAAAAATATAGATATCATTACACAGTGCATTCATTAGCTTTATTAAACGCAAGGCAATTGCCCCTATGAGCTTAACATTCAAATCATCGGGAACACATATACAGCACAGCCAAGAGGGTATGGGATCAACCCTACTGTAATGTGATAGGTTTCCCTTCCTCCTTTGGTTTGCGCATCCTAATAATACAGAACAATGTAAGAGTTATCGTTCTTGGATAAAAAAAAAATGTATTATGTTTACAAAAAGAGCATACAATACAGGCAGAACCTGACAAACTCGAGTTTGTAAAGCAATGGAAAATCACTGCACCACAGAATTGAGTAAACTACTTTTTATATACATGTTAGTAATTGAATGCATTGACCGTGTCCACTTTTTCTGTCCTGTGTTACATGTCAACAGACAAATATTTAGCTGGTATTGAAATCCTCCAGCTTAAAGGCTCTGTTTTTGTTTGCTACCTCAATCACAACTTCAGAGATCGTCCTTAATTCTAAGGTCTCTAACCCTTCTGTTAGATTTTCTACTTTTTGTTTGAAGCTGCATCTTGAATCATTCTCCAGCCAACTCTGAAGAATAGACACTTTCAGTAATGCAGGATTTCCATAGTGTTTGTGTTTTAGTTCATCCATTTTTACGCCTGTCAGATTCAATATACTGCCGAGCGCTGTCATTTGGCCAACAGTCAGCTGCTTACTCAAGATGAAGAGACTCTTTGACTCGTCAAACATTGCTGTACAAAACAAAACAGTATACGTTCTATGATAGCGTATTTGATGAATGAATCACTGGAGACAAGTCAAAAGAAATCAGCACCACAGGAATTACGCTGGACATATGCGATTACATTAATGAACAATCAAAATATGATAAAGCCAGAGATGAAAGTCAAATGAATATATACAAGTGAGAGAAAATAAGATATGGATCAGCACAGGGTTTTATTAAGAGAAAATTTAAATGCTGTAAAAAGATAAATAGTATTTTTAAAGCTTTTCATTCAATCATAAATGAAGATCATCTGTACGTTTCATGTCAGTTACAAAGAGTCGTGTAGTTAACACGCACANCCCCAAAAAAAAATAAATATAAAAAAAAAATATATATATCCTCATGAAGTGATACCCTACAAAATATCTTTGTTCTTGTGATAGGGACAACATGGAATTTATCAGAAACTAGTAGAGTTAAGAACAATCTTAGAAAATGCGAAAGTTTTGAGATATTTACTATTATTTCAAAACAGTTTGTATGACTATACCTACAATATGATTTTTAACATACCACAATGTTCAGTTCTGAGCGAAGGTCTTCTCGGTTTGTTCAGATTCGTCCCTGTAAAATACTTGTGGGCGCCAAAATGGGCCTGGTGAAGTAAGTCATTTTGTTCTTGAACTCGGCGGTATTGCACAATGGCTTGTTCATTCTGATGACTGTTGTTCCTGCTTATCGACAGGCGGTGAAAATTTTCGTAACTTTCATGGTCGTAACTCAGTACTCGTGGGTCTCTCAAAGCCGATGGTGAGATTATGATTCCTACATTTTCCGGAATCTCGATACGAATGTTCTCCAGGTTTTTCACCATCACAGTCGGGGATCTACATACCCTAAGTACAATGAGTTTCTCTTCTTCTTCTCGTTTTTGAAAAGTTTTTTCAACAATATCTTCTTCTGCAGGAACTATTTCGGACCATAATGATACATCAGAGTCGTCTTTTTCAATGAAAAGTAAAATCTTGCAACGATGGTAGTTCATATCCATAGCGTGTGCTATTTTTGGGCCGACGTCCCTTTGATAATCTGTACGTCTTCTCCCAACACCATACCTGTTATATATAAAAAGTTGAATTATTTTAACTTTAAATTTCTAAACAAAAATTGAAAATTTCATTACCTGTTAAGCATTGTTTAAAATTTGTACCAAATTTTAAACTTTCATAATTCCAGACCAAGTTTTATGGCATTTTATTTAACATTCTAATCTTTAGAAGTGCTTTAAACGGGTTACAGCACAAACATGAAGAAATGGCATACTCAATCCCAACATAACTGATATCACATGTTAACATACCCGCTAAATGTGTCCACTTCTATTTGATAAAGTGCTTTCGACTCTGAAACGCACTGCACGGGAATGTCCACAATCTCTAACCCTTTCTCGTCACAGTGGAATACAAAAGTTTCCAGGGGAGAGTCATCCATCTCAAATAATTCATCCAATTTAAACGTGAGAGCCGCTTTGTGCCTCAATTTGTTCTCATTGGTATGAATATAGGCAATATTGGATAATGCCGCTATATCCGATTTATCTGTAAGTCGTTTTTTCTTACTCTTTGGATCAATCGAAACAGTCTATAATACAAAAGAGAAATAATCAACTTGATGTTAAACTATAAAAAGCAGTGGATATATTGTTAAATTTCGTAATAATATCGAGTGACAAAGTTTGCACGTAAATTATCTTTAGTTCTTTGACCACAAATATTTTATAAATTCACAATTCCCAGCGAAGAAGATAAGTCTTTCGTTTCAACACCAACATTGCAAATATTCAAAGCGATGATGTACCTATCCTTAAACAAATAGTTGATGTTCAATAACATCAGCATCATTCCTCCACAATAATGATATAATATGGGGATTGTTTATGGTAATTACAATAAATGCTGTTTGTAAGGTAACATGAATTCTTTTAACCTGTCAGAATGTTCGTATCCAAGCATTTGCAGCTCTCATGTTGATGTGTTCGATCGATTTGCTGCATATGGTCGCAATATGGTAAAACCTAGACACATGGTTAAAATGAAATAACTTACATTTAATTGCTTTTTGAATGTGACAATTATATTCCATTAAATAGTTAAGATGTATACTTACACTGACTTTGACTTGTGTTGTTGTTGAAACTGATCCCTGAGGGAAAGTGATAATTTCATCTGCAGAGAGAATATTTTTGTAAACAGTCTCCTTCTCTGGATCCAAAGACACATTATCATATATACGACTTGACGTCAGACATATGGAAGCAATGCTAAGGTCTGTGAGGTTTATTTCCAAGGTTTTAGATCCAACCTGCAACAGAACAATAAATGATAACAATAATGCGTAGGATGAATTTTCGCGTTTGTAAAGATTGATAGCATTTTACAAGTATCTTGTCAACACAAAAAAAAAATGTTTTGCCCATTTTGCTGTATTGTAAGGGTTTTAATTTATTTAATTAATTTATGTTATGTTATTTATTTATTTATATATTGCTTTATCTATTTTCGTTTTTTACGTGATTACCCCTATCAAATTTAGCAACAGATACAGCACGCTGAAAATGAATGACACTATATCTACTGTCGTATCGTCGGTCTAGGAATCATAAGTAATGCTAGGACAAAAAATGCTGAAATCTAAATTGGTTTGGATTACATTTGAAAGCAAAGGGGGGGGGTCGTAAAATACAGTTATCTGATTGCGATTATCAATTGATTGATTTTCATGACTAATTATTGCTGTCCAATAATGCATATGTTTATTTAGCTGTATTACGTATTTATTTATTATAATTGATTTTTGTCTTGTTATCGTACACATTATAAACACACAAACATGCAGCCAAATTGAATAACAAATTGCATCAACAAAATAAGAGAAAAAGTGATTCAACCTTCTTTTCCAACGAAATCTTCGTCCAGTTTCCGTCCTTTTTGATGTGTAATGTATACACCACCCGGTTTCTGATCACACGAAGTCGGAATTGCAGCTTTATGGATCCCTGGTCATGCTTTAAAACTGATTTTTCATATGGTTTTTCTGTCTTCTTTATGGGGACAAACATTTTTGGGAAGTCGTAGTTGTCTTCCTCTTCTTGATCATTTAATACATCAGCCGGTAGATCTGTGATGCTGATATCGTACGTGGTGGACTCGAATGTATCTTGGTCACTCTCAATCAACTTTGTCGGAGGTTCGGCCTGCCGCCGTGCATTGTCCCAGGGTTTAATCTCCACTCGCGCTTTTCTTTAAAAATCAATAACATCACATTATGTAGATTTACATTAACCGATTTTTTTTAATTCGAATTTATATATATATAAATATAAATATTGTAAAAGAATGTATATGTACATGTAACTGTTTTGTTTCACTGTGTCTTGAAAAAGGAGCGGATCGCTCCGAAAATTTGACAACCTAAACTTGTCCACACTGTTGGAATCACTGCTTTGCCCCATATATATATAATATAAGAAGAAAATATTTCAACAACGAGTCTTTAGTATTTTCATCTCTTATAGGAGATTTTTTCACACTGTTTATGTTGTATAGGTCGACTTATGCGGGAATACCCTGCAGAAACGTGAATTTTCTTATGTGACCTTTACTGCGGGACACGAAAGCAACAAAAACAAATATGGTTATTCGTTCGTACGGATAATTTATCTGCTTTTATATTATATATATGTATATATAGTTGTGCATGTTTCATTTGCCCTGTTTAGAAATTTTAGCAAAAACTACTGTGTTTGTTATTTCAAAATACATTAGAATTTACAACAGATAAAAATGTTATTGTGAAAATCTTAAAAACTTACTTTATTTCTTTCGGATATTCACTGAAGTCTCTGAAAGTCAATGCGTAAGAGGAATGAGAAGATAGAGAATTATCACCGCACACTTTGTTATATTCGAGACGACCAATGTTTGGCCCCGTAATAGATGTTTATCATTTTGTTTTCTGATTGGGAGCACGGAATAAGATGTTTGTGGCAGCCTTATTGCACATTTTATATCTGTCTATCATTATTTCATTCTTTTAAAATTGCCTTTGTCGTGTTGGCAGTCATATTGCCTATAAATTTCAAATGAAAGCAGGAATTGCTTAAATAATTTACAAATTAAATTGACACGGTATCGTCGATACGAAATGACAATAACAGGAATTATACAGAAGACTTGATGAAGGCTCCAATAGACGTGTGGCGAAATCAAAATGGAACGAAAGAAGGAGTTATATTCAACAACAACGTCTAATCGCAAATATAACTGTATTAGCGCTTTAACATCGTTATCAATCGCTGTTTTGATTAGTCGGATAAACAAATTACATTAAGTTTTATTGAAATAAAAAAATACAACTTTGTTAAATTGTACTACTTACTTGTCCTTTTCCATTGTTCTTGAGTTAGTTTCTCCTGGTCTTCTCCTTCATAGATAAACTGAGGGAAGAGCAGGGACGCAAATGACAAAATAGTTCAGTTAATCTCCATTTTCAATACTTGATGTATTAACACTAAGCTTAATGATAATTAAACTTGTTTATGTGATATCTTTGAACCCTGCAGATCGGAGTTGAGCGAATGCAACCTGCACTCGCCCACAGTATGTCGTATCGGACGACTAATGTGGGATTACCCTGTGGAATCGGGGGCTTTCTTCTGTGACCCTTACTAAAGGACACCAAAGCAACAGAAACAAATACGGTGCATCTATTGACCTTTCAGCTGTACATTGGTGACACGAATGGGTTGATATTTCGTTGTCGACATCGCGTGACCGGGCAGGGGGTGGCATGCTATCGAGTCGAGGTTAGGACACTTCAGCATGATAAATGACATTCGACTGGATCCAACGTCCATGAACTCTACCTCAATAAGAGTTTAGCTGTTGCAAAGACGTAAACCCTCTAACAACAAAGCCTTTTATTTCAAGAATCGAAAAGAACCAGACTGTAAATGTATAGCTCAGTCTACAATGTTCTGTACAATTTAACTTTATTCTAATAATGATTGTTTCTAATGCTAAGGGAGACATAAGTATCGGTGGACTGATCTAAAATGGTATGAATGGAAGAACATTAGTAGCATGTAAGTACATACATGTATATATATATACAATGCTTTCTCCTCTTTAGAGGTTCATCAGGGGAACTGTGTATATATATATATATATATGAATATGTATCTACGTTACCCAAACACACACTGGAACGTATTCGAGTGCGGTTTTATACTATTCGCCGTAGCAGGCCATTTTCCAATAGTTCCGCCATTTTATTTAGAAGTGATGTGTTGACTGTATTACATCCGAGGATACTTCTTGTAGCTACATGTATTTACCTGTTCTGGGGTAAAAAGTAATAAGCGGAAACTCCCGAAGACTCCCGAATATTTGTTGTTGCTGGCACTACGGTGTGTATTGTATTACGTCGTAATGTACGTCCGCTTTATATATTGTTACGAGGTATTACGTCACAATGTATTTTTCGTGATACGTAATCGATATTTCGAGGTAATAATTCACACTTGCGGCTTCATCACTGAAAATCTTATCTTAATGACTCGATACTTACATATTTGTTTTCTCTTTGAACACTTGCCAAAAAATATCACACGCAGGTATTACATACATTTACTATCACAGACGGATATAGAACATGTATACCACACACTGGTATTTAATTTCACAAACAGGTATTACACATGTATTAACATAAATACAGTATTAAACACACATAATAAAACCTGAAGGTGCTGTGATTGGTTAAAACCTTGGGAACATATTTCCACGCCACTACAGGTACTACTTTTATTTATTATATAACATGATACATTTTATGTTCTTTTAAATGAATATTTGAAATGTTTATTTTGTCAGTATTATTTTCATTTCACTTAAAACTGTTCATTATTGAAAAAACAATCTTGAACTACTTTGCACTGCGCAGAACAAATACTATGATTGGAGTACTTTGGTTCTGACCTTTTTAGAGTCAGCTAATAACACACAATTGTGTTGAAGCGTTTTGTTCAAATTATGAATGTTAAGTGATGAATAGAATCGTACATTCGTGTCCATGTCCACTCGCCAAAAGACACGTGTTACATAAAATAATTGAACTCGTTTGATTAATCCGTTATGACATGGACACGAATATTAGATCCTCAATGTAATTATTTAAAAATATTTATTTCAAATTCAACATTTTCTCAATCTAGTGGGATTTATCCAACATAGTACAGTACCAGCTGTTAACTATTTCTCGACTGAGTCTAATCATATACATGTGTAGACAATGATTTAGTGTAATGATTACATTAGGGGTATTGATAGAGGACATGCTTACAGCGGAGGAGCTACATTGTTTTATTATTGTTCATTAAAGCATGACTGCCAACTAGGGACGCTTATTGTTTTAAAGTGTGTACACATTGAATTTAACTTAAGTATGGTTCCAAAACTATTAACACACTATTGAACATTGATTTATTATCCCGTTAAATTGCATTTCAAGACTATATATAGATTTATCGACCGATAAAAGATTTTAAAAATCTCCTTCCTGATATAAAGGACATAGAGTTAAACTGCGCGTATTTGAAATACATGTATATTCAAATATTCCAAATATACTGATTTCTATTAAAGACTCACAATAAAACTCAATCAATCCACTTCAAAATCCATTTTCTACGTCTTAAGTAACATCAATTATTATATCTGAAATCCGTTATATACACCTTCTTCAAAACATATGTCAGGTACATTTCAACAATCATTTTCTTCTCCTAAAACATTAGTCGATACACTTCAAATCCATTATCCATGTCTTCAAAAACATTAATCAAAACACTTCACTTCCATTATCTACGCCTTCAAAAACATAAGTCAGTTCACTTCAAGATTAATTATCAATGCCTTAAATTCATATGTCAGTACATTTCAACATTCATTTTCTTCGCCTTAAAAACCACAAGTCAGTACATTTTAAATTCGTTATCTACCCCTTCCTAAACATAAACCAGTACGTTTCAAAATGCATTATCTACTTCTTCAAAAACATTAGTCAATACAATTTAAATCCATTACTCATGTCTTCAACAACATAATTCAGTACACTTCAAAATCTATAATCTACGTCTTCAAAAACATGAGAGTTAAAACGCTTAAAATTCATTGACAACGTCTTCAAAAACAAACACAGTTCATTTCAAAGTTCATTATTTACATCTTTAACTGCATAAGTAAATCAAAACAAAACAAAACGCAAGAGCGTATTGAAATAAGGTGTTAATTAATCCTACCTTTGAACAGCTGATACTAATTAAATCCTGTATTTACATTTGTTAGATACCCTCATGCCGTGCTTGTCACCTGTAATATAGCATGTATTGTGCATTACATACGCATTATGTAGTTTATCTTACAGATCTGTAGAACAAAAGCTTAACCGTGTGTGTTATATATAAACTATGACGAAATTTAAAAGATATAGGGAATTTAATTTAGGGAAAACCTGCGTAAAAAGAGTGTGGTAAAGGTAATATACTATAATGATATAAGTACAAAATGAAAATAAATGTTACTCAAAAACTATTAAAATCATTTTAACACCTGATCGAAGTCATTGAACATAAAATTAGTGAGTATATTTTGTGAAATAAAAAGCGAAGACAGATGTTATAGAAATACTTAATTGCCAGTAAACAACATATGTGTTGAGTTCGGAGGCAAGGGCTATTTGTTTTGGAGACTTTAAATATAATTATATGGACAAACTGTGTCCATCTTTTGAGTCTTGATGGTCTGTTTTCCCCCTTCATAGCCAGCAAACTCCTTGCCAAATCCTTTAATTTCATTTCATTGCCAGATGTATATATGTGTTGTCTGTAAATAACATTACAATTATGGACCATGTCGATCGTATATAACCTTCAGAATATTAAATGAGAGAGAGAGATAGTGTAAACCTCTTTACATAAGTCACTTATTTCCATCGTTACATACAGCGGAGCATTCATGGACAACTTACCTCTACGCTGGAAGAGAAGGTTTACGTTTTCGATTTTCTGGTCATAAACTTTGCCTTTTCTTATGATAACGTCCCTGCTTTTCCATCTTCGGTTTCAGCACGTCGCAGTGGAATCCATATTCAATGTTTTGAAAATAACGATTTCAGTGAAAAATGCCGAATGTTAAAGAAAAAACCTACAGCAAAGGTGTTCGACACATCAGACTTTCGTGAAATGCAAGATCATAAAGGCAGTGTTCAAGTTTTATTATCGCCACCATGAACTCGTAAGGAAATTATATTATTACCCAGCTTCATCAATTTTCTGTTCAAATTACGATTTTATTCACACTTAAGTAATCTCCTTAAACATTATTGGAATATTCTGTTATAGAACCTTGAAAGCTGTATAGTTTGCCGGAAGGATTTATATCTCCGAATATACAATTATATGTAAAGATTTGAGTGCGCGCGTGTGTTCGTGCGTGCGTGCGTGTTACCGTGTACGTTAATTTTCGTAGGTACCCTGTGTATAGATACATTGTCCGCATTCAGGATTTACTGTGTTAGTATTTTTTCCGTGAAATTCCTGCCTAACGTTTTATGTTAAGCTAACCTTTAGTTGATCCGGAACCGGGACGACAATAGTATTATTTTATCTATGTGTCGTGTTTAAACAATTCACCTGTCATAACAAGTCACTGATGACTCACCAGGACACCTTATACCTAATTATATACTCATATATATGTATGTGTGTGTGTGCCTACCAAGTGTACTCAATGGCGTTGGATTTCAAATAAATACAATCTACGTACATGCCACATGTGCCACCCTGTAATTTGTATATATTACCCCTATAATATACAACAGTACACAATGCTCACACCTCATCTGTAAGTTCGTTTGATGTTAATCTATCAATAGGAAATATATCTTCATCATTTCAATGACATCTTATTTCTTCACTTTTGTATCGTTTTAAATATATATTGGATATTTTTTGGTAAAATAAACTTGTTTTCTGGACAGATGGATCTTGCCTGTCAGGATAAATATAATAAGACTGAATTCCAGAGGAGATCATGTTCTTGTTTAAATATCATGAAAAAATACATGTTATGTTTCTGTGGTTCAAATGTAAATACAGATAGAAAAATGACGTCAATTGGGTGTCTTACATCAGAGTCAATGTATATTTTCTCTTAAATCCTCGTACTAAATGCATCGGCATTTTTTTTTCAATGATTTAAGTTTGAAACAATATCAGTTAAACATGTAATTGATAGCAAGCCTTCTTTTTTCATGAGATACTTTCAAGGATATTTTGTATGCTAAAATACCGAGGGCTTCCGAGGAAGTCTTCCAATCCAGTATAGATTATACTTCGGGAGTAACAAAAACCAAGTTCAATTCATTTAAAGACGTCAAATACATACCTGTATGTAAACACTCAGGTGCTTCCCAACGAAAGGTTTGTAGCATATATCAAATAATTTGTCTATAAAATACTGTATTTACAGGTATAGCGAAATATATTATAAACGTAAAATAATATGATACATCTGAAACTGAGCTTTGTATTTACAGGTTATACGAGTATGCCAAATAATTATTTAAGTATAATAATTGTACTGATTTGTTTTTACATAACTGAGATTATCATATATTTTTATATAATACCTGACACTATAGATATATTGTATAACACAGATAATGATACTTATATTTATAGTGCACTAAAGTGATGATACATGATATATATTATAATATTCATGGATGTTGTTAATTACACTATTATAGTGCAACATAACATGAATATATGAAAAACACTGTAGTATTGTTGCTTAACAGGGATAGATTAATGTATTTACATAGTGAGTGACAATATGAAAGTGCTACATAACGGAAATTATGTTGTTAATTCATATGCAAGTAGTAAGAGACAGTTTAGTAAGGTTACATAACAGAGATTATTATATTTACTTATGTAGTAAGTGTCACAAACGTTATGTACATACAGGAATTATTTTATGAATTTATATAATTAGTGGCACTATACAGAGATACACAGTTCACGTAACCTTAAGAGGGTCTGTGTATTGTTTCTACGTTATGTACAAAACAACAGTGTAAAAATTAATATGGAGATACAAAGGTTATGAAACTTAGTTATAATTGGACAACGATCTTACTTTTGTTACATTTACATAATAACATTTGTTCGATAGGGCTAATCTAACCAAACCAAACAATAACCAAACTACTATAAAAAGACTCAGTTAAATGGCATCAGTTCAATACAAAAAATAAATAATTCCTCGAGCTATGTCGTCAAGTGCTTTTTCACGAATAAAATGTCTTATTTGAAAGCGATCATAAAAGGAAATCAGAACATATCTTATAAAACGCAGATTGATCAGTTAAGGAATAAATAAGACAATATATATCCAATCAATGAAATCAATCAACAACCAATTTCCTAAGCTTACGTACGTATATCTTTAAGGAAGTTTGTGTAACGCTATTGTTATAAGGAGACAAAGCTCTTATCACATAGACCGCAGCGCTCTGTCGTTTGCACGAATGGGCAAACATGGGCCAGTTATTTAAGACAATGAATATAGGTCTGCATAGGTCTTTGTTGCAACAAAACGCACGATTTGATAAGATTGTAAGTAAAACAAAGATATGCGTTAACGTCAGGTCATGTGTAATGTTAATTAAAACAAACCTGCTACTGATATTTGCTAAATACAATGACCAGTTGTATCGGCAGTCTCTCCTCCACTTTTGGAAAACATGTCATCGTTAACTGGCGAAATAACTCTGAAAAATAATACTTACATATACTTTGAACGTAAGCGCTTTTTCGCTTCAAGTATTTCGCTAAATTGTGGTTGAGCTTATTGAGGTTTTTAGATATAATTTCCTATGGCATATTGCGACTGCGGATATCGATCAATGCGCTAGCATATAAAAAAAACGATAATATGTTTAAATTCAATTCCGCTCAAATAAGTCCTTTTACACTTAGGTAACAATGTTTATTGTACACTGTATAATCTATCTTTCAGTGAATGGGGAAAGCATTTGAGATGTGGCGACAGAAATGGGAAGCAAGCCAAGCAGGTAACATCTAACTTAACATTGTTATGCAAATTCCTGTATTTCAAAATTGGTCTCGACGATTTCGACATAACGAAGTTGAAATGTAGTTGAACTAAAATGTTATAAATGTAAATTGGTATTACAATTTGTAAATTATTATCACTGTGACTCTTGCACCTGTATATCAATTAGTTTAGTCACCTTGTGCATTTGATTGAATACCTTTAAATCGGGGGAAAAGTAAAAATGAAATCGATAGATTATAGAGATAATGTTGGCATTCGTTTTCTTGTTATTTGGGAGACTTCAACACACAATTATACAGTTATAAACTTGATAAACATATGTATCCACACATCTTTAGTACAAAAGCGGTTATCTCCCTTGGCTCTACAGACTCGTGTGCATCGTGGGATTTGCTATCTTGCACAACAATCCAACAACGTCACGTCAACAATATTGCAAATAGTGTCATATCTGATATAGGTGAGATATGTATATATTCTGTAAGAATACAAAATAAATAATTCACTAATGTCTATGTAGTAAAAGGTTAAAAACCGTTAGGGAGTATATGGCATCAAAGTATGACCCCGTATTGTAGTTTATGTACATGTACCCCCTACGTCCCTTTAGTACATTTAGGATTACTTTCATTAACCAGGAAGCCATACATGTAGTTAACATTATAGATATTTCACTTCTAAACTGAAATATATTTTAACAATGAATATTGCATAAATGAATGCGAGTTTAGAACTGATTTTCTCCTAATGGCTGCTACGATTCTTTTATGAATGTAAACACACAGATAAACAGAATTGGTCTGTTATGGCTGCCGTTGGTTAAATGGTACGTCTTTTCATCCAACAAGAAAGTTGTTGTATCTACATTGTGTTTGTCTGTACTCCATAATCACTGGTCGCGCGTGTATTACGTGAGAACATGTTACAATGATAAGAACATCGTTGGTAAGGTATATGTATAAGATGAAGATCAGGGACTTGCAGTCATCTATTTTGGCAACATTTTAGAATCCAAGTGAAACATCGACCAGACTTCTCTATATTCCCAAAAAGTTTTTTATTCTATTATATTCCGTCAAAACATTTAACAAATAATGAACAAGAGCTGACTGAAATCTTGGATTTTGTTTTAATTTGTAACCCTTACCAACAATTTCTCAAAGCGTTCATTGGGTTTTTCCCTGTGAATTGGCATTTGGAGATACTGATGTTAGCATTGAACTACTGCACTTGAGATCCACGGGAGACCATTAGGTCAACTAGACAAAGGTTGTTTCAATGCAGCGCATTATCTCTATCAACCAAGTACTAGATTGTATTTTTGAAAGAGGGACATTTGTAATTAAAGCGACCATAAACTAGCTTGATGATGATCTTACACTGACTGTCATAGCGAAATTCTAAAATCTAGTTTTGCACATATTATCTCTCAATTTGAATATGTAAAATAAAAAATATAATTATTTCTGTCCACAGTCTGAATGAAAGCTCCTTTTCAAGTATTGCAGACCACAAAATGGCAGAGTAAGTAAACACAATATCTAACAGTTCGATTATATGATTTTATATAAACACGTCCTCTTCGGAAGTTCGATAGTGCTGAATAAGAAGCAGACACATTTAACACTGCGTAGAAAATTACTCTGCAATCCCTGTTCAAAACAATGGACAAAAATTCTTCCACAAACTGTTACGGTGAAAGTATCGTTTATTGAAATAGCGTTGTGATCACCGAGTCCATGGTTTTGTCTCATTCATTTTAACAGATCAACTGAAAAATGATATTGCTAAGAATTTTTTTAGTATTCTATCCATCTTTGACCTGGCACCCCGAAAAAAAGAACCTAAAAATGGTTAGTTGCTTAACATCATACGAAGTTTCGGATAATCGAGAGGCCACTTAAACGAACTTGTACTGAAGATGTCTTCACAACATGAACTAAATATAATTGAAACCTTTTGCCGTGAAACTTTATTGAATGTGACAAAATCCAATATGTTTTACAAGTTTTACGTACAGTTTATAATGACACTGTCGAAACGAAAAAGACGTGGAAAACGCAAAAATCGTGGACAGGTGGTGACGTCATCATTACTTAAACTCCAATTATCTAGCAAATGAAATGTTTAATATGATATCTTATTTCTTTATATCCCAGCTCGATTGCGTACCAAAACATTATTCTGGTGAAAACAAAACCATGGGACTCCCAAAAAAGGAAAGATCAGTTTCCTACAGAAGAGGTTACAGGTGATAAAATGACTTTCGAAACAACAATAATCGATGTTGAGATCACACATCCTACACTGACCGAGAAGGAATGTACAGAGAAGGACATATTTCCTATGCCTTACGTCAACCTCGACAACGACAAGGAGCAGGAGTTTTACACACTGAAGAACTCCAGTGGTCAAATAGTGGTATCTGTTGAACCTAGAATTCCTAAACGAAACGCAATATTTACCTTCCATGTCAAACGGAAAGGGAAACAATCATGGGATCAACATCACGTTAAAAAGAAGGTACTTGTGTAACGTACGACTTTAAACTGTCTGAACGGTTTTTGTTGTTGTTGTTTGCATTAGATCTAGTTCCCATTTGAAATTCAATAGTTCATATTAGTTGTGCAATATAATCGCTAATGATCGATTGCAATTGGTCAATAAACATCAGTTAAGACTTTGCTCCTTGTATTATGAAAAAAAAAATTGCATATTATGTGAATGTATATTCAAATGAAAATGAATACATTTGACACGTCTAACTAACGACATTACTAAAGACATAGAATAAAACATCACTAGCAGCTGTAATCTTAATTTGAAGTGTAAACTAGTAATTATCGGTATCATTAGAAACTGATATTTTTTCGTCGAAGCTGTTTAGTGCGCACATATCGGTGTCATAACGCCTCAGTTACATGTTTTAGAAATTAGTCCTCTTTCGAAAACAAAAGTGACATATATGTTTTGCTTTCTCAGTCTATTCTGGAGGCACAATCCCATACATCTTGGTATCATTGCAGATTTCAGCAAATGTAAGGTGCACATATTCCAGAGCTATTATATCTATGATAACCTTTTGAGGAATAAACTCTTCAGGTGTGGCATCATTTGAAATGATCTAAGTAGTTTTCCGAAAAAAGTTAATGCGTACGAATCAGTGCTATAACAACTCGGTCAAATGATTTCGAAGTTCGAGTTTCAGAACAACAAGATTGGAATGTACATTTTGCATCCTCAGTCCTTTCCAGAGTGAAAACCCAATAAGTCATGTCATCATTGGAATGACCATTCCAGCCACTTCCACAAACAAATGTGTAGTGCGCGTTTCTCAGAGCTATATCACCCCGGGTATACATATTAAGTAAACAAATGGGTAATGAAGAATCGAGAAAAATGTACGCTATTTTTTGTAAATTAGCACTTTTCAAATTGTAGAAAGGAGAGATGACTGTGTTTATAGAAACAGAACAACTTGATATTGACACCGTGTTTATAACATCACAACTTGAGGTCCAGACTGTTGAAGTCACTCGAGCCGGCTGTGCGAAAAAACTTGATCCTAATGACGAGAACATGAAGATTGAATTTCAACCCGAGTCTGTGAGAAGTACCATGGAAGTCACAATCGAGGTCTGTAAACACTACTATTCCAAAAAAGGGAATATATATTTTAATTCTTGCAAAAAATGTGAAAAGTCATGACTACCAAATAGTTTAATGTGAACCAACCGGGTTGACGAAACCGTTGATATGACAAAAGTAAATAATTTAGAACTCTTATCAAATCATGTTCGTGTTAAACCGTGACCACCGCTATGTCATAATGCTTGAAGCATAACTTCATCTTAGCCAAATAACTGTGATGTCAGAATTAAGACAATGGAAAGTATGCCATGGTATGAACGTTGCATTGAAGAAGATAAACATGGAGGTAAGATGGCTTTGTTGAAGACAAATTATACTCAAAGAATATTCATCGTCATGCTAAAAAGAGATTTTGAGTTGGTTTCTAGTCTCGTGTTATAAACCTCAAAATATAGTGAACGTGCATTATGACGTTAAAAAATACACACCTAGTGACGTCACCGGCAACATACAAACTGGAATCGTCGAGAGTATTATGTACTTGCGCAATATAATTACATTGATTGATTGTACCTTCAGAAACATTTTTCTAAAGGCCTGTGTTAAAGTAAAACAAAGCTTGGACACACGCATGACTGTACATAGATAACAGGCTTAAACTCATTCGTACCTCTACTGCGCAAAGGAGGTAACATTCCTTTATATATGGCAAGTTTTTATTCTAAATTGTAGTTCAACCATTTTAAACAAATTTTGACAAACTTTTCATCACTAAACAGATAAAAATTGTAGTTGACTTTCATTCATTATTTTGCAAATGATAGTGAATTGCATACACTTCTAAAATTTTTGAACCCCTTGTTTCTTTAAGCGATTGTTAAAGTAGCATTGCTGCGTGTTTAAATCGCAATTAAACAGAAAATAGAACAATTTCGTTTATTATGCGGAGAAACAACATTTAATTCCTTTAACTGTGCCGGGAATTTTCGTCAAAATAGATTATAAAAAGCTTCAGAAAAACGTCGATAATAATTATTACTTAGCAAACTTACTTCGTATACCAACATTACTTTGTATGATATAAGTACTGCTCGAAAGAGTGCAGTACCTTTGTTGTCAAGCGAAGCTACAGGACAGCAGAGTGTACTTCAGGGGATCTTAAAGGTACGAACATTGGTCTTTTAGGTTACCTCTCTTGATGATATCGTAAAGGTAACGAAACTGGGAAAACTGTTTGGTAAAAACCACGGTATACTGGGAATCTCTGACATGGTGAACGTGACACACGAAGGAAACTTCCTGCTACCTGTCAACCTAACATTAGCCATGCAGCCTCTACAACCCCAGCCTGTCGATGAACTGCCCGCTTCACTCGTCTTGTATGTTGAGGACGATACAATCCAAGAGCTGGAACAAGCGACGGTAGAACAAATTGCTGACAACCTTTTCACCATTTCGACGAATCACTTTTGTCCGTAAGTATTTTTAATTCGGGTTTTTTCACATTTATTCCCAGTACTTTAACATGCTACAATGTACAAGCACATCCTCACCTCTTTTCAAAACAAAACTAGCCATTTAGGATCCATCGAAAATACTTTGTCCAATAGTGTTGTTATACAGAAGAAGTTAAGATGTCATAATAATTGAACTTTGTATTACAAAAACGCGTTTACCTATTTCAGGTAATAGGATTGTGTCGCCATTTCTCAGTAGAATTTATTCCAATTTTGTAGTTATATTGCTTTGAAGTAACATTTTCTGCCACAAAAAAAATATAGGTTGTCAGAATTTTAAGGATTTTAAATGGAAATTTATGTAAAAAGGAGTGAATTTTGAAAAGAAATATGAAACACACAATTTTTTCCAAAATAATGTCAATAAAAATGATACTAACATAGATTAGTATTGCATTGATGTATATCAATTTCATAAATACTGAAATTGTGTAAAATTAATTATTTATAAACCGATTAAAAATTGATATTTTGTAATAAAACCATATACACATAGTAATTGCATGCAAGAGTTATCGTTCTTGAAAAACTTCACAGTAGTGAAATAGGTAAAATGGACACATGTGACTCATTGATTAAAAAACAACTGAATTAATGCCTGGATTGCTTTGCAATACTTTAATATTGAAAGAACACACTGTTCTGTCAATAATAATCATACAATATTCATCACTTTAATATTAAACATTAGATTATGCGGAAATTGTGATACTGTCTCCCTACATTGGATTTTCAACTAGGGATGTACTTCCTATTTCCGTTTCACAATACACTCCTATGATCTTAATCTTTCTTATCAAAAACTTTGACAGAAAATATCAATTTCGTATGTTGTATCAATCAACCGCTTCGTAGTGTATGAACATTTAACTATAATAAATATGTATATATATATTTCAGGGTAGTATGTGTAAGACTGAGACCAACTGTCCGTCGGTTTCACGCGGAAAAAGCTCTCAGATATGTTTACGATCTCGACGATCCAAGGTGTAACATCTTACTGTTTTCCAAAAAAGATGGAAAATTACTACTCCTTCGCTCAGAAATAGTGTCTGAAGATGAAAGGTTGAAAAAGGAGCAGGAAAGAACGACTGGAATGGGCATGAATTTGCTGCCGACTTGCACGTCACCAACAATACGATTGAAAAATATGGACAGAGTGAGAATTTCTTTGGCTAATCATATGTTCCTAAAGTTCGCGACTGGTATCCCGCTGGCAGGGCGCTTTATCGTGTTTGACCGGCATAATAATGATAGCTCCCTCTCATTTCATGTTGAAGAAAACAAAGAGTTTGGAGCTGGAAGCATGGCTACACTGGAATATGACTTAGACAGTGGTCGGAATCGAAGGTCACTTCACAAAGCAACGTTCAATGCTTTGAAAGAAATGACAAATCAAAAAAATCCTACCTTGTCAAGACATTGTTCGCAAGACACCTTAAGTACAAATCCAGGATTGCAAACAACATATTACACACGGCAAGTATCTGATTCTTCTAGGTATAGAACTTCCACTGAAACGTCTGCCGGAATTGCGTCTGTACGTGATGATGTCACTCCCTCTTCGTCAGCTACTGACGTAAAAGAGGGAAAAGCGATCAGTCTCAATCTTCCAGACATGAAGCTAGACTTGTTGCCATCCCGATTACCTGAAAACTCTCCACAAACCGGAAACACCAAATTACCAAAACATGTGACAAAAAACAAACCCCAGGTTCTTCCCGGTGCGGTTAAAGAAGAAAAAGACGTCTCTAAAACAGGAACAAGACCGGCTTCTACCGGAGATAAGGATTCATGTTCAGGTAAGTTATTTATTATTAACAAACATGTCGCTGTCTTACAGATTATTTTATCGCAATGTTATGTAGCTCGTATATGATAAAGAACAAGTCCTCTAAATATTTTCTTAATTCTATTGCAAACGAGACTGTGTATCTTTCCAATAGACATGGACTCTGCTATATGATAAATGGTAAATTTCTGCTTATTTTCCAGGATCAAAGAAAGTCTGAAAATTCCAAAGATGACAAAACAAGAAATGGAAAGTTTAAATGATCACCAGAATTATTATAGCACATATGGTAAACCCAGCGACCCGTTCATTTAAATGTATAAGTAAACTTCAATTATACCACACAAATCTGGTCAGCAGCCTACATCAAAGGCGTAAACTTTATAGGCTATTTTTAACTGTTTAACGCATAGCAATGACCCTAGTACGGCACTAACACTTCAAAATATCAATTAACAGAGGGCGCCATATTATTGTTTTCTCCGTCATAAATAAAAATAAAATATTGACGACAAATATTGCATGGATACGAAACAATTGTCCGGAAAGATGATCTAATGTTCAACTCTGAACATTTCTATATCAATATATGACCTTTTGAATCATATTTCTTATTATATACAGAAATATTTAGCAAATTGTCAGACACACAACTCTCAACGTATTATATGTCATCTTTAAATTAAATAATAAAAAAATCTGTGACTTATAAATAAACACAATGTGTTTTGTTGAACACCTTATGTTCTCTGTCCTTAAACGCAGCTCGAGATCAACATCATACGTTCAATTTTCAAATATAATAAATGAGAATTATGTTGTTGTTTTTTTGTGATATCTCTCTTATGATATGTTGAACAATGTAGTACATATTGTTCCAAACTGAACGCGATTCTAGCATACGTCTTCTCCCTTGTAAAATAATTTTTATATTTGTTGAGGCTCGTACACAAAAGAAACGATATAGTTAGTTCTACTTTATGTTAAATAAAACAGATAAACTCCAGTGTTTTCGAGAGAAAAAAATCGGTTTGGAGCTTCAAAGTGTAAATTTGATTAAATTGTTTGGTCTACACAGTAAAACAACTTAGGTTACCAATGCTGCACTACATGTTGAAGACACTTGCATACATAAAATGTGGAGTTATTCACCAAAAAGACTGAGGATATCAATGATAAAACTTGTCGGTGTTTTATGTTGCAGGAAAGACTGAGGAACTCAATGATAACATTGTCTGTGTCTTATGTTACAGGAAAGACTGAGGAACCCAATGATAACATTGTCTCTGTCTTATGTTACAGGAAAGACTGAGGAACTCAATGATAACCTTGTCGGTGTTTTATGTTACAGGAAAGACTGAGGATATCAATGATAACATTGTATGTGTCTTATGTTACAGGAAAGACTGAGGAACTCAATGCTAACATTGTCTGTGCCTTATGTTACAGGAAAGACTGAGGAACTCAATGATAACATTGTCTGTGTCTTATGTTACAGGAAAGACTGAGGAACTCAATGATAACATTGTCTGTGTCTTATGTTACAGGAAAGACTGAGGAACTCAATGATAACATTGTCTGTGTCTTATGTTACAGGAAAGACTGAGGAACTCAATGATAACATTGTCTGTGTCTTATGTTACAGGAAAGACTGAGGAACTCAATGATAACATTGTCTGTGTCTTATGTTACAGGAAAGACTGAGGAACTCAATGATAACATTGTCTGTGTCTTATGTTACAGGAAAGACTGAGGAACTCAATGATAACATTGTCTGTGTCTTATGTTACAGGAAAGACTGAGGAACTCAATGATAACATTGTCTGTGTCTTATGTTACAGGAAAGACTGAGGAACTCAATGATAACATTGTCTGTGTCTTATGTTACAGGAAAGACTGAGGAACTCAATGATAACATTGTCTGTGTCTTATGTTACAGGAAAGACTGAGGAACTCAATGATAACATTGTCTGTGTCTTATGTTACAGGAAAGACTGAGGAACTCAATGATAACATTGTCTGTGTCTTATGTTACAGGAAAGACTGAGGAACTCAATGATAACATTGTCTGTGTCTTATGTTACAGGAAAGACTGAGGAACTCAATGATAACATTGTCTGTGTCTTATGTTACAGGAAAGACTGAGGAACTCAATGATAACATTGTCTGTGTCTTATGTTACAGGAAAGACTGAGGAACTCAATGATAACATTGTCTGTGTCTTATGTTACAGGAAAGACTGAGGAACTCAATGATAACATTGTCTGTGTCTTATGTTACAGGAAAGACTGAGGAACTCAATGATAACATTGTCTGTGTCTTATGTTACAGGAAAGACTGAGGAACTCAATGATAACCTTGGCTGTGGCTTATGTTACAGGAATGACTGAGGAACTCAATGATAACATTGTCTGTGTCTTATGTTACAGGAATGACTGAGGAACTCAATGCTAACATTGTCTGTGTCTTATGTTACAGGAATGACTGAGGAACTCAATGCTAACATTGTCTGTGCCTTATGTTACAGGAATGACTGAGGAACTCAATGCTAACATTGTCTGTGCCTTATGTTACAGGAAAGACTGAGGAACTCAATGATAACCTTGTCTGTGTCTTATGTTACAGAGGTATTCAGTGAGAGAAGCTTGACTCTCCTTGCAAGGCAGATACCAGACCATGAATACACTTCCATGGCCACTTTTTTAGGGATATCTATGGTTGTTGCGGACAGGTTAATGCAGTCCCTCCCAAACACTCAGGACAGAAATCAGTTGAAGCTGAGGCTTCTGATACACTGGCTACAAAACGAAAGCACCAACCCTTCCAAAAGACTTCAAACATTAACTGTTGCATTACAAGATATCGATCAGAAAGGCTTGGCAGAAAAGGTTGAGGAAGCTTTCAACAACAACAGGCCTTTTAGACCATAAATAGTTTCGTTTTAACATATTGAGAAACATAATTACAGAAACTATAAAACGTAGATATCACCTTTTATGATCTAGTTGAAGTATTGTTGTTTGTGAATGTTCGTTCTGTAGGCCTGATTAGATGTCGACCCTAGTAACAGATAGCCGTCGTAACATCGTAATTTTAAAGAAGTTTGCGTGATTAGATGTCGACCCTAGTAACAGATAGCAGTCGTAACATCCTAATTTTAAAGAAGTTTGCCTGATTAAATGTCGACCCTAGTAACAGATAGCCGTCGTAACATCGTAACTTTACAGAAGTTTGCCTGATTAGATGTCGACCTTAGTAACAGACAACAGTAGTAACATCGTAACTTTACAGAAGTTTGCCTGATTAGATGTCGACCCTAGTAACAGATAGCCGTCGTAACATCGTAACTTTACAGAAGCTTGCCTGATTAGATGTCAACCCTAGTAACAGATAGCAGTCGTAACATCGTAACTTTACAGAAGCTTGCCTGATTAGATGTCAACCCTAGTAACAGATAGCAGTCGTAACATCGTAACTTTATAGAAGTTTGCCTGATTAGATGTCGACCCTAGTAACAGATAGCAGTCGTAACATCGTAACTTTACAGAAGTTTGCCTGATTAGATGTCGACCATAGTAACAGATAGCAGTCGTAACATCATAACTTTACAGAAGTTTGCCTGATTAGATGTCGACCCTAGTAACAGATAGCAGTCATAACATCGTAACTTTACAGAAGTTTGCCTGGTTAGATGTCGACCCTAATTACAGATAGCAGTCGTAACATCGTAACTTTAAAGCTGTATGCCTGATTAGATGTCAACCCTAGTAACAGATAGCCGTCGTAACATCGTAACTTTACAGAAGTTTGCCTGATTAGATGTCGACCCTAGTAACAGATAGCAGTCGTAACATCGTAACTTTAAAGCTGCATGCCAGATTAGATGTCGACCCTAGTAACAGATAGTTGTCGTAACATCGTAACTTTACAGAAGTTTGCTTGATTAGATGTCGACCCTAGTAACAGATAGCAGTCGTAACATCGTAACTTTAAAGCTGTATGCCTGATTAGATGTCAACCCTAGTAACAGATAGCAGTCGTAACATCGTAACTTTACAATGTTTGCCTGATTAGATGTCGACCCTAGTAACAGATAGCAGTCGTATCATCGTAACTTTACAGAAGTTTGCCTGGTTAGATGTCGACCCTAATTACAGATAGCAGTCGTAACATCGTAACTTTAAAGCTGCATGCCAGATTAGATGTCGACCCTAGTAACAGATAGTTGTCTTAACATCGTAACTTTACAGAAGTTTGCCTGGTTAGATGTCGACCCTAATTACAGATAGCAGTCGTAACATCGTAACTTTAAAGCTGTATGCCTGATTAGATGTCAACCCTAGTAACAGATAGCCGTCGTAACACCATAACTTTACAGAAGTTTGCCTGATTAGATGCCGACCCTAGTAACAGATAGCAGTCGTATCATCGTAACTTTACAGAAGTTTGCCTGAGTAGATGTCGACCCTAGTAACAGATAGCAGTCATAACATTGTAACTTTACAGACGTTTGCCTGATTAGATGTTGACCCTAGTAACAGATAGCAGTCGTAACGTCGTAACTTTACAGAAGTTTGCCTGATTAGATGCCGACCCTAGTAACAGATAGCAGTCGTATCATCGTAACTTTACAGAAGTTTGCCTGGTTAGATGTCGACCCTAATTACAGATAGCAGTCGTAACATCGTAACTTTAAAGCTGTATGGCTGTTTATATTAGAATTCGACCCTAGTAACAGATAGCCGTCGTAACATCATAACTTTACAGAAGTTTGCCTGATTAGATGCCGACCCTAGTAACAGATAGCAGTCGTAACGTCGTAACTTTACAGAAGTTTGCCTGATTAGATGTGGACCCTAGTAACAGATAGCAGTCATAACATTGTAACTTTACAGAAGTTTGCCTGATTAGATGTCGACACTAGTAACAGATAGCAGTCGTAACATCGTAACTTTAAAGCTGTATGGCTGATTATATTAGAATTCGACCCTAGTAACAGATAGCCGTCGTAACATCGTAACTTTACAGAAGTTTGCCTGATTAGATGTCGACCCTAGTAACAGATAGCAGTCGTAACCTCGTAACTTTACAGAAGTTTACCTGATTAGATGTCGACCCTAGTAACAGATAGCAGTCGTAACATCGTAACTTTACAGAAGTTTGCCTGATTAGATGTTGACCCTAGTAACAGATAGCAGTCGTAACGTCGTAACTTTACAGAAGTTTGCCTGATTAGATGTTGACCCTAGTAACAGATAGCAGTCGTAACGTCGTAACTTTACAGAAGTTTGCCTGATTAGATGTCGACCCTAGTAACAGATAGCCATCGTAACATCGTAACTTTAAAGTTGTATGCCTGATTAGATGTCGACCCTAGTAACAGATAGCCGTCGTAACATCGTAATTTTAAAGAAGTTTGATTTCTGTTAAGTGTACCATCTCCTGTGTTTCAAACTTTAAACGATAATTATGGTTATAGTAATCTGTATATTATTATTTATACTCATTAATTCTTATCACGTCAAGACTCGAAAGTGATCGTTTGTTCATGACTGTTATTCTATTGTCTGTTTTTCTTTATTTTCTTCCTGTTCGTTACATAGGAGTCACATCGTGTAGTTCGCTACTCAACCTGTACAGTTAAACCTCTGTTATACTACAAACATTATTCTGGAGAGAAAATGTATGGTCTGGAAAGTAAACTCTATGGTTTGGACAGAAAAATGGATGGTCTGGAAAGTAAACTCTATGGTTTGGACATAAAACTGTACGGTCTGGAAAGAAACCTGTACGGTCTTGAAAGAAAATTCTATGGTTTAGACAGCAAATGTACGGTCTGGACAGAAAAATGTATGGTCTGGAAAGAAAACTCTATGGTTTGGACAGAAAATGTGTGGTCTGGAAAGTAAGCTTTATGGTTTGGACATAAAACTGTACGATCTGGAAAGAAAACTGTATGATCTGGACAGAAAATGGATGGTCTGGACAGAAAACTGTATGATTTGGACAGAAAAATGTATGGTCTGGAAAGAAAACTGTATGGTTTGGACAGAAAATGTATGGTCTGGAAAGAAAAATGTATGGTTTGGACAGAAAACTCTATGGTCTGGACAGAAAAATGTATGGTTTTGACAGAAAACTCTATGTTCTGGACAGAAAAATGTATGGTTTGGAAAGTAAATTGTATAGTTTGGACATAAACGTGTAAGGTCTGGAAAGGAAACTGTATGATCTGGACAGCAAATGTATGGTCTGGAAAGAAAAATGTATGGTTTGGACAGAAAACTCCATGGTCTGGACAGAAAAATGTATGGTTTGGAAAGTAAACTGTATGGTTTGGACAAAAACGTGTAAGGTCTGGAAAGAAAACTGTATGATCTGGACAGCAAATGTATGGTCTGGAAAGAAAAATGTATGGTTTGGACAGAAAACTCTATGGTCTGGACAGAAAAATGTATGGTTTGGAAAGTAAACTGTATGGTTTGGACATAAACGTGTAAGGTCTGGAAAGAAAACTGTATGGACTTTTGAGATTCCATGAGTCATGAACGTCATTATTGCTGAAAAGCTGTTTAGTGTTCATGATGATACATTATGATAAAATAAACACATAAATATGAATGTATTGAAACTGCGTTATTTGATTGTTATTATTGTGTCAATTTCCATAGATAAATATTAATATGTAAAACAAATAAAACAATACTCCGAAATCAACATATCCAGTTTGCATAACAAATGTGTACTACATGTGACTTGCGTCAGTTTTATTTTCCTTGAGCAGTTATCTTGATTTTTATCCTTTACTCCAGCATTTTTGATAATAACACATAAATGTAGAGGATCTTACAGTGGAAATGTGGATATAGATAAGAAAATATACTTTATTCAAACTTAATATTTAAGACAATATACCGTTTTTAAACTTAACACTTCAGACGATATACTGAATAAAAGCTTCAAATCTCCGAAAATATACTTTATTTAAACTTCATTCATCAAAGAAAAAACTGTGTTCAAACTTTATTGTTCAAACAATGTTCTGTATTTTAACTTTATACCTCAGACAATATTCTGAATTTTAACTTCATACCTCAGACAATATTCTGAATTATTAAAACGCTGTACATGTATCAGGTAATACTATGTATTACAATTTCAAGGACCGGATAATAGTCTTTATTGACAAAGTATACCAAAATATATGGAAAATGATTTTGTGAATTCAGTCTGATTTCCTCCTTTGAACTCTGCTTAAAGCACCCAGAGAAAAGGTCAGAGCCCTAATTCCATACATACATATGTGCAATACCCATTTTTCGACATTATGCGTTGGCACATGTAATTCGTATAGATTGGTTATATCATGAATTATATGTTTTATGTTTAATCACCTGTGTGTGATTAAAGTTGTATATTTCAAATTTTAAAAATTGAGGGGAGGGGGGCTATATATACTCCCCATCAGTAACCTCATCCATATAGTTTGTATACACTTTCTATCGATAGGCGAAACGTCCCGGGCCGAGTGACATGTGAAGTTTACAATTTCCTCACATCATTGAACAGGTAAACAATACAAATCGCGCACTCAGTCATAGTTTGACAAAGGGACCAGTCAGTCTTGAAACGTTGCGACACACGTTTAAGACGTGTATTGTTTGTAAAACTTTGATTCACCTTGAAGAAAGAATTTTTCTTTGGCCTCACATTTACATATGTTTCGGAAGACTTCAGTAAGATTTTTATACATTTGATCTTAATTTAAGGGGAGTGGAGGTGGGGGTATTACAATATCGTGGTGATATTAGTAAGTATGATTAGCTGTAGAGCTATAGACGTGTCGATCAATTTTCACAAATAATGTTATATACTTCACAAAACGTGTAATAGAAATAAAGGTAAGTAATAAATACGCGTATTTACAATAAAAACATACAAATTAGATATTTCAATAATTTTTAATTGGTTGCATATTAAATAATAAGGCTTGCTTTTTTCGTTTTTCCAAAACCAACAACAGCAAAACATTCCGTATTTTACTAAAATAAGCCCCAAATAATTGTGACATTTTTTCCCCAGAAAGGCAAAAGTTAATAATTTATTATACACCCTCATTTATAAGATTCCACACTACAAGTACTCGCATGTACCCATCCATGTTATAATTCCACACTGCCCAGAGTCATCTAGGCCATTACCTAAAACTAACCCGCCCTACGTCACCTTACACATTCCAGCCTTCAAACGCTTCTCTCAGCCACTCCGATACCCACGGAAAGGAGTAGTACAGCCCTTTAAATCGTGACTTAGAACACCGCCGAACCTTGTTGACTTATTTTATTACGGGTGAGGTAATTTATGGGGTGTAGGACACATGTACCGGACTAACGGGCGTATTGACTTTAAATAATGACTGTAATAAAGGATAGCCGAAAAGGATCAGATTCAGATTTCAGATTTCAGATTCTTTATTTCCTTATGTTTACAACACATCGGAGAGTAGACATACATATGTACAAGATATCACAATATATAACACAAATTACAGTTGGTGCAATAGTGTACAATGCATCACATAGATTATTAAAACACAATATACCTGTATGTGGGTATAACATACAGAACATGCAGTATTATATTTAGTTAAACAATATTATTTCGTCGTTTTGTACTTAAATGCAAAAATTTGCCTAGGTTATTTAGATCTTTAACGATTTTGGTATTGAACAGTTCTATTAACTTGAAAACACTTGGTCGTTTGTAAAGATAAGGTTTAATATATTCATGCCTAAAATCCTCATAAAATTTGCATTTAAGTATAAAATGGAATTCATCTTCAACATCATTAGCGTTACAGAGTGATCACTATCATCAGGACGCTTGCTCATAGCGGTAGAACATTGGTAAAGAAAATACATTATATGAAGTAACACAGCATTACAAAAGTATATATAACATACAATAAACAGCCAGATATAAAGAAATCTTTGAAGACTTTCAATTATCACTAAGACTTTGTAAGGTTTGGATTAAATTCCGTGTCAGTTTTTGTTTCTATATATGTAGATTTCTTGGTAGGTTTGAGGATGTCCCCTTCATCTCCCTTCATCTCCTCTTCTTCCCCCTTCCTACTTCACTCTCCGTCCATCTCTCTTTCCCCCTATTTCCCCCCTCCCCTTTAATATACCTCCCCCTCCTCTCCCATTCCTCCTTTATATCACAAATTGATACAAGATTCTGTATTATAACTCGAGGTAATTTATGATAAAACGAGATAATATGAAAGATAAGTCGAGAAACAGTTAAGTGTAACGTTCAACAATGCAGACTGGTGATTTGATAAGAAATTGAAAACCCAAATTTAATGTGTTAGTTAAGACATTTTGTGATTTTGACATTAAATCGTTGTATTCTATATAACACATTAATAATGTGTGTCAAAACGTAAATGGTTTTAATATCAATTTACAGCAATTATGAAATTAAAAAAAAATTACAAACTTATATTCATAAATCTTGTTAGCCTGGATGGAAGCGCACAGCTAGTGTCTTACTGGGAGAGAAAAAAATGGAGTATCAGAAGAAAATCCCACCTGGTCCAGTAGGTAATGAACTATTTTCACATCTAATCGGGGAATTGAATACGGCCGTCCTGGTGATAGGCCAACACGCTATTCCATTGCGCCAACCAACCACCGTAATACTACTCAATAGTGGGTTTTTTTGTTGATAATTGGAAATCCTGCGACGTGTATATTTTGTTTTTAACGAGTATTTTTATAATATTAGAAATATATATTTTATCTTAGAGCGTCGCTATATTAATGGAGATAGACAAAACGATTCCAGGAAATATTCCGAAATCAACAGGAAATCAAATTTTCCTGTTTAACGAGGTTTCATTGTAGTAAATAAAGGTTGAGATTCTGAACACCATTGTCTCTAAGGAATGTGGGTCATTTGAAAAAAATTGTCCAGTCAAATTCCTAGTTAATTTACGATGATTGTGTAGGTCAAAACTGAGAGCTTGTGTCCGCGCTTAAACACAAATTGGCCGGATAGCTGTGTAATGTAAGTAATACCAAAGTGACGCGGCAGGTAAACCATTACCTTATCGATGTAATTTGAATCATAGCAAATATTCCCCCTCCCCGCCCCCGCTGATAACAAATATTATCCTACGTGTCAACAAAACATGTTTCTTCTTGTTCAGTAAACGATCGTTTGTTTTGTACAGAGAAGCGAATATATGTATGAGATATGTAAGATATTCTGGCCATTTGATGGTCAGAGGGCCTTGCACCGACAGATAGCTTGACCACTGGACCGACATTACAAGTATGGAGTAAGTACCCGGAACAATGATAATATAGCAGATTTATTTCTTTTTTATCAAGTAGAGGTCAAAGATATTATCTATTTGTTTTTAACTTGATAATTATGACGTAGAATATTGTTCTAGTGGTAGGACACCGGGCTCGTGACCGAAGGGTTGCGGGTTCGAGTCACGGCACGGCTCTGTGTTGTATCTTTGAGCAAGATACTTTAATCCGCTTGTTCCAGTGTACTCAGCTATAAATAAGTACGTGGTTGGGCAGTGCTAGAATTGCTGAATGCTAGCTGTTAGTGAACCGCTTTTAGACGACCTACGAACTAGGTTGTGATAAAGCGGTATATAAGAACCTAGAATTATTATCATTTATGTAAATTATTTAACTCATAATTCAGTATAATTCATTGTAGAAATATTTACGTGCAGAAATCGATGAAACAAAGTTTCCTGTGCTTTTAGCATTTTTTTTTTTTATAACTAATGTACAAATAAGTAGGGTGGAGAGACTAAATATGTAGCAAGGTATCGCATGATAAAGCAGAAAGAGTTATGTTACTTAAAGAAATTGAGATTCCCTATAAACCATTTTATGGTAGCTTTTGTCCAGTTAAAATCGCTCCTGAAATTTAAGCATGCCTTCATATATTGTGTCTGAATATCTGAATACGTTTGTTTGTAGTTTATATTTAATTAGTTACAACATGAAAATGTAAGTTATAACTTAAGCAAACAGCCTTTGTGTGTATCCCTCAAACACTGTAGGTACATACAGATGGTTTAATGTATATATGACGCGGTAGCTGTATTCTCCGAGTACATCCATTTAACAAGTGTACATTTCTATACACGTGGTATGAGGGAGTATAACGTATCATTACACTGCTGTTGAATTACGCATACTAAATAGGGGGAATGATGTGTTTATAGAGAAAGATGAAAGAGAAAGATGAGGGGGGAGGGGGG